AAATAATTGCTTTATATATATATAAACTCATCTTATCACTCCCCTTCCATTTTGATGATTCAAATTAAAAAATTGATTACCCTTTCCTCATCCACCCTTAATAAATCAAAGACTATGTGACCTGGGATATGAAAGTTGGCTCCACTAATAAGTGTTTTGTGTTGTTAGGATAGGTCAAAGTTTTATATTTTGGGGTTTATAGTTAAAAAAATTAATTTTTTAAAATATATTTAGTAAATATAAAAATATATATTTAAAATTATTTAATAAAAAAATAAAATAAAAATTAATTTATAAACACTTGACCATAAATTTAAAAAAAGAAAAAGAAAAAGAAAAGAAAAGATGTGAACCTGTTTATCACACGGTGAAGAATGAATGAACACCCAATAATTTTTCAAAAAAAAAAAAAACCAATAATTTCAAGATTTCCTCTTTGGAATCTTTCGAAGACGATTCATTACCTTTTCAAGCCACCATTTTGGACCCGTTCTTGAGCTCTGACCTGTGATGGAAATTTACGTGTAGCAGACTAGGAGGACGAAAAGACGTACAAAGCGAAGATTCACACAATCACACCTCCTGCTTTCTTTTGTCGTTGTCCCCATTTATTACTTGGGCTCCCACCTGGAAACAGGTGGCCAGTGCCTGCCTTTATGGACTTTTGACGACAGTCACCATTCGTCCCCTTCCTCTGTGCACCGTACACATTGGTTTTTTTTTACTATCTTTTATTTAAAAGTAATATTATCAATAATTTAAATAATTTAATAATTATATTTTATAATTAAAAATAAAAAATATTAAATTTAAATTATATGATATACATGTTATACGAGATAATATATAAAAGATAATTCTTTTTCATTATATAATCAAAAAAAATTCAATTTGAATAGATTTTTTTAATTAATGATTTTTTTTTGAATCTTAAATATTTTAATTTAATTGTTAAAATTTTACTTTTATTATCATCTTGAAAAAATATCTTCCAACCCAAGTTCTTTGATGTTAGAAAAAAAAGAAGAAAAGTAATATTCAATTCAGATTTTATTAGATAAAATTCTTTCGGTATCTTATTTTTATTTACAAAATTAAAATTCAAAATTTTGTTTTAAAAAAATTGAGATTCACTGGCGGATACCGACAAGTCGTTGGCATGCCCCGTTTTTTTTTTTTTTTTTTTTTTTTTTTGAAGTGTCTAAAATCGTCATCGCAATCGACTTTCATGACACGTGGCATTCCATTGTTTCTCCTTGCTACGTCATTTCTCTCCTCCTCGATTTTTAAAAAAAAAATAATTTCAACCTAAGCTATTTAATTAAAGAAAATTCCAACAAATTAGGTTCCATTCATTTCATAACAAGAAGCGACCTCCCCTCTCCGATCCAATTACTCCTTCCTCTTTTTCTCCTGCAACCTCCGCTCGGTTTCACGCCGGAAACTGCATTCCACTTTTTCACGATCATCTCCTCCGATTCTCGTACCCACGACCATGAATAACGAATAGTAAGCTTCGTTTATCCTCCAATCTTTCGATTGCGATTGAATTTTCGATTTGTTTGCCTTGAATTTACGTTAAGCAGCGGTGTTTTCTTTTGAATCTTTGCGGATCTGTTTCGGTGGTTTTTTTTTTTTCTTTTGAATTTTAATTTTATATGAAGATTTTCTTATTCGATTTCGTTTCTAATTTGCGTCTGGCCTTGTGAATCAGATCCAGTATTTTGTTTGCCAGATCTGTTAATAGATTTCTTTGTATTATGGCTTACCTTTGTTTATATATTGTCTGATTTTTATGAGAAATTATTTAGAATATGCTGTAAAATGATAATTTTAGCTACGAAATTATGGAAGTATGTGGAATATTTGAAGAAATTTGGCTAAAGTATGGAAATTATCGAGTGGATGTATAATCTTCGTGAATGATATATTGAAAAATGTTTGTTGTTTGGATCCTCTTTGTGGCAGTGAAACTTAATTATAAGTGCCCTGGAAAAAGGAGCTTGATTGTTTATAGATGTTAGTAGTGGTACAGGGTGTTCCTCTATGAAGTTTAATGATGAGCACACTCTTAAATTGAGGCTTGGATTTGTTAGAAGTTTAGTTCAAAGGGTAGTGGCCTTATTGTTTTCTTACCTGTCTTAGGTCTGTGGGATATTGCCAACATTAACATATCATTTCCTGAATACTTTGGTGTATGTTCAAAAATTACATTTTGCAACTTGTTGTGTTACTTATTATCTGCTGATTTTTGATTTTGTTTGCAGCGATTATCTGTTTAAGCTGTTGCTCATTGGAGATTCTGGTGTTGGAAAATCGTGTCTACTTCTGAGGTTTGCTGTAAGTTTAGCCCCTTACAGTTTTGTCCCCACTTAGTTACATCTAGGTTTCATAATTCCTGTGTCCTTTATTTTTTAACTGAAGAAAGTTATCATAGTTTAATCATGACTTATTATTGGAGTTTTGCCTTTGAACATCAACTTTCCTAATGCAACTTAAATTAACCATGATATGATTTAGGATAACATCTTTCAGGCTTTCACTCACACAAATTGTTCTCATGATTACACGTTCAATCTATTTAGATGTATAGAAAGCACCAGGTCTACAGGCTCACAACTTTTATGGAGATTACTACATCTTATCTATTATATCTTTTGCTATGCAGGATGATTCATACCTTGAGAGTTACATCAGCACTATTGGCGTCGACTTTGTGAGTGTTGTTGTTATCCATTATTTAAGATTGTACCTTTTTCTTAGACATATGCATGATAAATTAATTTAGCATCATTTCTGTTTTGCAGAAAATCCGCACTGTGGAACAGGATGGGAAAACCATTAAACTTCAAATTGTAAGTTTTTAAGTCTTCTTTAGCTTGATGATTTGAATTTTCAGGATCACCTATATTGGGGGCATACTTTGATTCTGACATTAAGTTATTGGATCAGCATGGCATTAGGTCCCTATTTATATGTATTTTAGGAGTTAAATTTGTAAATCTTACGTTTCTTACAATAACCTGAGATATTATATGTGTCATTCTAATCTTTTCTGCCCATCGGATTTGCAGTGGGACACTGCTGGCCAAGAACGTTTCAGGACAATTACCAGCAGCTACTATCGTGGGGCCCATGGAATCATTGTAAGTGCAACATTTTCTCAATTGTCTTCATTGAGCCTGCTCTTAGATTTTTTTTTTTTTTCATTTTAGGTTTAAACTCATGCTGTTGGCTTTCTGGGCAGGTTGTTTATGATGTGACAGATGAAGAGAGCTTTAACAATGTCAAACAATGGTTGAATGAAATTGACCGCTATGCAAGCGAAAATGTGAACAAGCTTTTAGTTGGGAACAAGTGTGATCTCACATCAAACAAAGTTGTGTCTTACGAGACAGCTAAGGTAAACTTAAATTTGGAGGTTCTATTGTGCCTCTGTTCAACAACTTGATGGATGTTGCCAGTCCTCTCTGTTCTTGCTGCATGACTTTGTTCTTGCTATAGGCATTTGCAGATGAAATTGGGATCCCTTTCATGGAAACAAGTGCTAAGAGTGCCACTAATGTTGAAGAAGCTTTCATGGCCATGGCTGCTGCAATCAAGAACAGGTAGTGTGCTTGATATTTTCTGTATTTATGGTTGTCGATAAAGCATTTCTCTATCAAGGTTGTATTGACCATTGCCCAAGAAGTGCAGTTTTTCCTCCATTTTTTCTTAATCATCCTTGACTCTTCAGATCATTGGTCTTATTAATCTTATCATGCTTGTTTTCTTTAGAATGGCAAGCCAACCAGCCGCGAACAATGGAAGGCCTCCAACAGTGCAGATTCGAGGACAGCCTGTGAACCAGAAGTCTGGTTGCTGTTCTTCTTAAATGGATTCAATTTTAGCTTTCTCATCATGTTTTTTCATGTTCTTTAACTCATGTAAAACTAGTTCCATTTAATGCTTCAATATGAAGAATTATTCATCTTGATTTACTTTTCTCGATAGTGAAATATTTTATTAAACTTACATTGTTTTAATTGAATTTGAATTTTTTTTTTTTAAATCCCCACCGTGTAAGGATATTAATGAATAGAATTATTTGCATTCTTCTGTGTAATTTATTCTTTTTTTTTTTTTCATTCTTCTCTCAAGCTAAAATTAAATTTTGATTTTTCACATAATATTTTGAATTGAAAAAAATTTGAAATCCATATAAGTGCCACATCACATTAGAGGATACAAATGGTACTACTCTGTTTATTTTTACTAAGTTTATTTTTGATTTTTTAACTTTTAAAATAAATTTCATATAAAACTTAAATAATTTAAATGAATAATAATTCAAAACTTTTTTTTATTTGAAATTTTTATTGAGTATTTTTATTTGATTAAAAGTTTTTTTCAATTATTATTTATATAATATATTAAATTTTCATCTAAATTTTATGTTTACAAATAAAAAAATTAAATTAAATCTATTAAAAGTGAACAAAGAGGGGTAAAAAATAAGTTAAAGGTTCATTTTAGTACAATTTGAACTTGAGGACCAATTTGGCAATGGTCACATAAGCTAGGGACCAAATCTGGTATAAAGCCAAGGTTCTAAATGTCAAAGAATGTAGTCTGATCTCCGAAGCAATACGTTGAAGTTCCATTCAGTTGAACCATTCAGCTATATACCAATTACCAGTAATCACCACATGAGCAAGATCCATCCTTAAAGTGGTGAAACCTAATGGTATCTCTCACTATGATTTCCCTTCCTTCTGTAGCTGATATGTATTTTATGGCATTGTGGCAATCCCCACAAACTCGCAAATTCTTGAACACTCTGATTGGGGCTCCTAATGGAACTTTCATCAACCCAAAAGCAATAGCCAACTTTTCACTGTGCCGTAGAAGAAGCTGCTCTTTCTGCTCTTCTCCCACATCATGTAATGCAAATTCGAGGTCTGGAATGTAGCCTGCTAACTTCATTTTCTTCTCCAGCTCGTTCAATTTTTCATTAATAGAGGCTAATTCCGGATGTAACCTGTCACTGGATCTGAATTCATGAACAACACTCTTTATCTCGATCCAACTGTAACCTGGTGTCTTCACCACCTTGTTGTCTTTCATTGATTGGCGAACCCTAGCAACATGGTCCCATCTGTTCATTGCCGCATAAACATTAGCCAATTGAACATAAGCAGCTGCACTATTTGGATCAAGAGTCAGCAAGTTCTTGGCAGCAAACTCTGCAATTTCCAAGTTCTTGTGAATCCTACATGCACCCAAGAGGGTTCCAAATATGGCACAATGGGGTTTGAATGGCATCCGATTTATCAAATTTACTGCTTCAGCTAACTTCCCGGCTCTACCAAGAAGGTCCACCATACATGTATAGTGATATGGTCTAGCTTCAACTCGATAATCCTTCATCATTGAATCAAAGTATTGGATACCAAGATCCACTAACCCTGCATGATTACAAGCCAACAAAACTGAAACAAAACTAATCCAGTCTGGCTTTATTCCTTCATCCCTCATTTGTTCAAACAACTGCAGAGCTCTCTCACCTGCACCATGCTGAGCATAACCAGAAATCATTGAATTCCAACTGACAACATCCTTCTTTGGTATCTCAAGAAACAGTTTCCAAGCATCCTCCAAAACTCCACATTTGCAATACATGCTAATGATTGAAGTTCCTGCAGTTGTATCGTTGGATAAAGGAGACTTGCAAACGAGCTGATGAACCTGCTTACCTAACTGCAATGCAGATAATTCACTACAACCCAATAAGGCACTACTCATAGTTGAAGAATTAGGCTTAATACCATACCCCAGCATCATCCTGAAAAGTTTCAAACCATTTTCAGCTTGAGAATTCTCCACATACCCTGCAATCATAGCATTCCAAGTAACCAAATTTTTCACGGGCATCTCCTGAAAAAATCTCTCTGCCAACTCTACCTTCCTAAACTTCATATATCCACTTATCATCGCAGTCCATGCAACCACACTCTTAACAGGCGCCAACTCGAACAACTCCTCAGCCAAATCCAATTTCCCGCACTCAACATACCCCGAAATCATGGCGCTCCAAGTAACACTATTCTTTTCTGGCATTGCAAGAAACAACTCACGTGCTCTGTCCATTTTCCCATTCTGAGCAAAAACCGATATCATCGTGTTCCAAGAAGCTGTATCTTTGACAGGCATTCGATCAAAAAATGCCAAAGTAGTCTCCAAACCAGAATTTTGTACATAACATGCCAACATGATGTTATAAGAGACAGCATCTGGTTGGGGAATTTTGTCAAACAGTTGTTGGGCTTCCTTCATTTTCCCGGGAACTTTTAAGCACCCCGCCAGAATTGAGTTCCAAGTGACCGTCGTTTTAACTGCCATTCTGTTGAATATTCTAAGGGCAGAATCAATATTACCTGATCGAATATATCTGGCGATGATCTTATTGGAAGAGATGACATCGCTGTGAATGTGTGCAGAGCTCTGGAAAGAAGGATCAGTGGTGCGAACCAAAGGAGGAGTTTGTGAGTCAAAATTGGCGGGAACAGCTTCTTTGTTGGGATTGGCATATGGGTTTTGAATCGTTAAAGAGGAGAAATGGAAGTTCTGTTTGGTTGGTGAGAAAATTTGGAGGAAAGCCAAACAGTTCCGGTTTTTAGCATTTCTCAGATACATTTGACATCATTAGAACTCCAACTTCGAACAAGAGTTTGTTATAAAAAATTTAGCTTCTTTTCCAATCTTGTCCTGATGTATTTTTGACATTCCAATTTTGTCCTAATGGAAGAAGAAAGTGGAAAAAGAAAGAGATATGTATGTATAGATGAAGGGTGTTAATATGTTACTATATTTCTCAATGATCTAAAATATGCCTTTCTCAAGCTTCTTCTTTTTTTCTTTTTCTTTTTTTCACATTAAAAACGTTAGCTATTTGATAATACAAGTCTTTAATCTCCAATCTTGATTATAAATAAAAAATTTTAACATAAGTCTTTAACCTCTAATATTGACTATAAATTAAGAATTTTAAATTTATTAATAATCATTCCTTAAAAAAGGTGGGATTTGGCTTAATTTAACTTTTTCCAGCGTTCTCTATTGTGTTGTGTTTATTAAATGGTTGAGTACTTGTAAGTTTTATGAGCTAAAAACTAATAATTTTGACTTTAAACCACGTTATTTTAATATTAACTTCTATTCGATCTTAAAAAATAATCTAATTTTGATATCAAGGTCGGGAGAACTTTATTAAAACTACATAGGCTTAAAAAACCAACACACCACTAGTATTACATTTGAGTTGGAGGTTAAGAAGTGCGCTCAATCAAACACTTCACTCGTAGTAAATTAAATAATTTAACTCTTTCATCATCAATTTTCTAAATTCAAGAGTGAATTAAAAAAAAATTAAAAAAAAATTTAAAAAAAATTAAAAAAAAAGGAAGAAGAAGAAACCATAAAAGAATCTATTTTTTCACAGCAACTTAATTAACATAAGAAAACCTTGGACGGTTCAAAGCATTTTATGAATGCGATACACAAACTAATCTCAATGAAGGGATGGGAGAAAGCAAGAACTGAAGAAAACTCATTTTCTTGACGGTTCAAAAGACCACGAACAAATTAAATTTAAAATGCAACGTTTAGGACGAGGAGTTCGACCTATCCCAAAACCAAAACTGATGATGCTACTACTCAGTTGCAAATAACGACCCATGTGCCCAAAGTTTAGCAAAAATAGGGTATTGCTTTCAAATGTCTGGTAATAACTAAAATTTACACTCAAAACTTGAAAATTAAAGACCGGTTTCTAATAAAGAAAATCAGTTTTCCTGTTGATAATCTTTAAACTCAGATTCTTAAATATATAGATCACAAGGGCAGGACAGGACAGGCCAGGCCAAGGCCAGCATGATGATTGATGAATGTCACTTGCCGCCACCCAAAGATGGGAACTCCCCTGCATCCTCAATTTTGGGGGCTTGAACATTGCCAGCGTTTTGGCCTCCATATCCACCTCTGGAACCACGGCCACGGCCTCTCCCACGCCCAGAAGGATTATTATACCTTCCTCCTTCAGCAGGCTTCAGGAACTCATTAATACTGACAGCCTGCAACAAGAAAAGACATCAGACAAGTAAAACAAGCTAATCCTAATCCTTGTATAGCAACAGAAGAACATACCAATGAAGATTGTATTCAGACAAGTAGAACAAAAAATGTTACAGTCACACCAAAAACTAGCAGCAGAAGCATATGAGCAAACAACCAAGCAAGGAAAACAAGAAAATCATGAAAAAAAAAAAAAGAAAAAAGAAAAAAAAGAGCACATCCAAGAGAAATAAAGAACTTAAGAAGAAAAAAAGATGGGGAAAAACATGCACAAACCTTCTTTTTTTCTTCCTTATCAGCAGCATCTTTGCGTTTTTCCTTCTCAGAACCCTAACAACAAGAAGTGAAGTGAAAATGCTTGCATATATTAATAATGAAATCATATTGCACAACCAATTTAGGATTGAATGTATTACCAATTTGATAAAAATTTCATCATTGGTCTTCTTATTTGAAAGCTGTTGCATGGACTTAAATGCTTTGTCCACGTCAACTTTCCTCTCTTCAGTCTTTAGGGCAACCAAGGCCTTTCTCTTCTCCTCAAGTACCTTCTCGTACTCTCCCAGAGTCATCTCCTATTACGTAGAGGCAAACAAGAATATATTCAGAACCAAAGAACTTTTGGGGACTCATGCAAGTTACACAATTTGAGTAGAATTTAGAACCATAATGGTATTAATCTAAGCTATAATTTAAGCATAGAGGGTTAAAAAACAGGGATCGTGGCAATTGAATCACATTTTGCTTGTTTGTCTGATTGGTGCCAAAAGCAAAAAAATAAAGGTCTGGCAGGCAGCAGCAAAAAACAAAATCAAACAGTACTTAAATAAAGAAACGTACCTTATTCTCAGGCTCCTTCTCTTCTGGTTCATTCACAGCATTATCCTTGCTGGCATCAACAGTACCTTCCTCTGCAGGCTGTTTCTCAGCATCCACATTCTTTTCATTCTCAACAACAGGCTCTTCAGGCTCTCTTAATCGTTGCAAAAATAGCAGACATGCATATAGATAAGCATCAGAGAACTCTGAAAATTTCACAAAAACTTCAAGGACATAGCTTTAAATGCAGGAGAGATACTCACGGAGCAACTTCATCAGCAGGAGTTCCCCAATTACCACGCCCACTTCCTTCACGCTTGAACTCGTTCCTGATTAGAAGAGATAAAATAAATGCTATGAAAAATTATTTTTTAAAAAAAGATTAAATAAGATAACCACATAAAAATGAAACTTATTTAGAATATTCTAGAACATTTTAGGGGATTATAAAAGAGAGAAGATTCTAAAAAACATACTCAGTTTAACTGATACTCAGCATTCCCTGTAGTCACAAACTTCCTAAACATCGATCATATTTGCTCAGAAAAAAGCAATTACTCAAGTTTACTAAAAACTTCTATAGTGACAAAGGCAAGGCATTCAATTCCCAGATGCTAGATACTTGGGACAATTAAACTCAATTTCCAAAATGGTAAAGCAAAATACTAACCCACGTCCGGTACCACTGTGACGATCATAGAACCTCCGAGGGCGCTCGCCTTCTCCTTCTCCGGATTCTCCATTGCTGAAACCTCCACGGCGGCCACCACGGAATGGACCTCGAGGCCCACCATAGCCACCACGGCGTTCAGACGGCCTCTCTTCTTCTTCAGAGGGTTTATGACCTCCAGAGAACTCATTGGGAAAATCATTAGCATTAGAATCCCTGTTGAATTCTCTGTCTCTGTCACCACGTCCACGCCCATAACCACGTCCACCACCGCGGCCTCCTCCACGACCACCTTCACGACCCCCTCCTCGACCTCCACGGCCCCCTTCACGGCCAAATTCATTCCTCGACTCCCTCACTGCCCAACAAAGTCAAGCAAAATGGACATCGGATCAACAACGACAAGACAAAATCTATAGATTAAAATAAGAACCAAACAGAATCCTATGTTCCCGAAACTGGGTATGTGAAATATAATCAAGAACGTAAATCAAATCAACCAGAACATATGCAATTTTATTGAAAATATACAGAAACTCGATTAAACAAGTGAATGTCAAATAGAAGCAATCAGAGGATGAAGTTCATTGGTTATGAAATCGAACGAAAACAGAAACAAATAGAGGAGTCAAACACTTACCAGATTGAGCTGGGGGAGGTGGCTTGGTGGGGAGCTGAGCAGGCTTGGCAGAGGGAGCCTTACCCGGAGCAGGCGCCGGAGCTTTCTTGGGTTTCTCAAGCTTGTGCTGCTGCGCAACCACAAGAAGACTGGGATCTTCGTTATCATCGTCTCCCAATAGATCAAAAGGGTTCATGGTTGCCATTTTCCTCAGTGGTTGGAGAGAAATGTATCAATACCTTAGGACTCTGAACTTAGCAACAGCAACCAAGAGAACCCTAGTGTCTGTTTAAAGCCATGGAGAGAAAGATCTGTGTGTTTGGAAACAGAGAAAATAGGGAGGAAATGATGGGAAAGTGCAAAAGAGAGAGAAACAAAGGGAGAGAAAATTGGAGGACTTGGAAAACCCTAGCCGATGCGGCAGAGAAGTGATGTTGAGCTTAAACCTAATCTTAAAAACCCTACTAGGTGGTGTTACGCTGCGGACAAGTCCATTTTTAAGGATGCTGTTCCACTATAACCCTATGGGTTTTTTTTTTGTTAAACCCCCCAATTTGGTCCCTAAGCTATTGTACAAACTTCTTATTTGATCCCTAAATTAAAAAAATTCTTGATTTGGTCCTTAAACTATTGTATGAACCCTCAATTTGATCATACTGTTTATCAATTTACCTCAAATTGATCATTCGATACAAAAAAAAAAAAAACTAACATGTCCATTATTTAATAACAAAAAATAATAATTTAACGATAAAAAATAATAACTTAAAGATTACGTGTCATATTAATAATAATACACGTCAATTGGTTTTTGTACGAAAAGACTAATTTGAGATAAATTGGTAAACAGTAAGACCAAATCGGGGTTTATACAATAGTTTAGGGATTAAATCAGAGATTTTTTTAGTTTAGAGATAAAATCGAAGATTTATATAATAATTCAAGAACCAAATTGAGAATTTAACCTTTCCTTTTTATCTACTTACTAAATGTTTGTACGTCCTAGGATTATTTAAATACTCTAAATTTTTTTATTAAATTACTAAAGATATTTAAATTTTTTATTTTAAAAAAAAATAGTTTTAATATTTAAACATTTTAATATTTTTGATAAAAAAGTTATTTCATAATCTAAATTAATCAACATAAATAGTTAGATAAGAAGAGCACACAATTATTTTCCACCGTCCAACTGCTAACGTACGAGAGCTCTTATGTTGTATTTTGTTTTTATATCATGTTATTACTATTTAAAAAAAAAATCAATATAAATAGTTAAATGAAAAAAAAATCTTATTGTTTTATTTAATTAT